ATATCTTATGGAGGGCATTCATTCAAGCATGTCATCAAAGGGTTACATTCACACCGTATTTTCACACAGGGATTTTCAGTGGCCTAAGGAAGGCTTCTAATTTACACTTTAATGATAGGAGGCTGACACAAATGCTAAACATTTCCTACATTTACAGGCTAATCTCTCTTATCCTTAAGGACTAGACAGCACACTGCATGGAGTCACTTTTAAAATTAAAATTGGATTCACGATGCTCACGCTGAGAGATATCACCTTAACTTCTTGCATATTGATAACAAATTAACATGACTTTGAAAGTAGCCAAGGACATTGGACTGTCCCAACAGTTTGGTTCTGCAGTGGCCTGTGGGAAACATAACATGTATTCATATCAGAATGTGGCCGATTATTAATTGAATGTTATCAGTCAAGGCCACTGACTGATTATAGAACAAGGTCAAATGACTGAATGCTACTTTTATCAGGCATGACTGAGGGTATTACACAGAGGTGGGACACAACAGAATTAACACCTGCTTCTGGTGCAAGTGGGTATTGAGACTGTATTGGAATGGGGCCAGGATATACCCCTCTGCTGCAGTTCAGCAAGGAAAGACTAATTACTCTCCCAGGATACATATTGCATGAATATGTTATAATAAAACAGATTGGACCTATCCTTTAAATGACATGCATTATTATTGTGTTGATTGATATAGATTACACATATCTCAATGCATGTTTATGGTGTTTCAAATATGGCTGACAGCCGGTTCTCTTTGGTTTACAGTTGTGGCTTTCGAGAATTGGACTTGAATTCTTAGGTGATTGTTGTATACTAACTGTAAGTTAGCATACTGTATAGAGCAAACTAGCTAGCAAAAAGTAATCCATTCCAAGTTAAAGTTCTGCTAATGGCCGACTGACAGCCGAATGCCTCCCAGACACCAGCAGTCTTTAACCTTCTAGTGGTTTTCAGATTCACAAAATGTAACTGGCTGAACAAGTGGAGTCAGAATCAACAAGCAACTTTGATCAATGTTAAAGATGATGCTCTAGGAAGGGCTTGACTGACAGAGGAAACCATGATTCCATTGCAAAGCAGCAAAAATAAAGTGTTATGTTTGTACAAGGGCAACTTTATAGACAGGGGTGCACATAACTTTTTTGCCCTGGTTCTCAAAGGAGCACCTGGAGATGTTGCTTGGTGCTCATCCTTAAAATGAAATCAACCGTAACTTTTGAGGGGGTCTGGACTTTATTTGCCAGACACACGGCACTGAACACACATGCAGAGGTGAACACAGAACACACATGCAGAGGTGAACACAGAACACACATGCAGAGGTGAACACAAGACAACATTAGCACGACCAGTAATCCTACAAGCTGTCATCACTACCCTCCTGACTGTTCTCCTCACTGTCTTCCTCTCTGTCAGACATGATAACTGATGATGTAGGCCTACTTCTTTCTCTCTGGTTGAGTCTGTGATTAGCTGCTGGCATCCACAAGTCAACAGCTGGGTTTGGGTCGAAAGTCTCTGTTGTCATCTTAGACAAGTGGATGTAATCAAATAAGTATGTGAACATAACCAATAACCTACCATAGCCAATAACAAATGAATGTAACTTATTTTATTTGTGTTGTTCATTCATATCTTATTTTACCTTAACATTTATTTATTTATGCATTTTTTTTTTATCTCTCCAGTTTTAAAGGATATGTTTGGTTACTGTCCTATAGTATACATTGGAATGATTTAAAACCTGTTTATCCCAATAATTACAAAGGAGTGCCTTGGAAATATGTGTTGACATAAATTGTGACCAAACCGTTTGAACTTAGACTAAAGTGAACAATCTAAACACTCAAGAGTCCTTACCTCACTGAGCTGTAGTATCAGCCTCTCAGTCTGACTGGAGAGGACTCTCCCTCCACATCATTGTAGAAACATCTTCTTCTTATCTCCGTTAGAGCAGCTAGCACGGCACCAGATTCTAATAACAACAGCGCTGGTACCGGTGCACCCTCCCTCTCTCCCTCTCATTTTGGCTGTGAGCTCAGAGCTGCGGGCGCCAGATAAGCCAACATCCCCCATTTTCATCACTTACAGCGCCCAGCGTACAGGGCAAATGAAACATGTAACCGGGGTAAAAAGGGTGTTACATTTACTTAATTATGAATATTGTTACATCAAGGCCGAAAATTAGGATGAGCCCCAACGGTCAAAAATGTTTTTTTCCCTCCCAGAACTGCCAGCTCAGCACCTCCCCAGGTCTGGCGCCCTAGGCGAACATCTAGCCAGCGCTACGGGCCGGCCCTGAGTTCATATCATGGTTCATATGCAACTCGCAAATATCTTTCTCTCTCTCTCTCTTCTCTCTCTCTCATCTATCCTCTATTTTCTCTTTTCCCTTCTCTCTCTCCCTCTCTCAATGTTGGTACGAAAATGCGCTTTGTTTCAAATGACCTGGTGCTCTTTTTTTGGCGGAGGTGCGCATGCGCACCTGCGCACCAGTTATGTGCAGCCCTGTTTATAGACTTTATCACAATTTTAAGGAAAACAGATTTGATGTTTCCATATTTGTCAATACGACATAATTTTTGATCGAAAATGGTGGCAACTTTTTTGAGATTTGGTGGGACAACATAACAATTAACACTACTTAATTGATCAATAAAAATGTAAACATAATCAAACCTAATGTCAGCTAACATCAAAATAGTATATACTTGCAAGTAAAGAGGGTAGAGGTACCATTTCACACAGAAAATATAAATATGTAAGAGATTACACTGTTTAAAACATCATTTTATACAAAGTTAAACAGAAAGATGAGATGTCAAGACGGATCTGTCAGACTCGACTCAGCTCAGCAGATGACAGTGACTGATTGATCTTCCTGCGGGGTAACTTTGTGACTGCATTGTCAGATAAGTGTGCACAACGCTCAGAAGAGCGGGCCAAGCTGAGACATATCCCACCAAACCAAATATTTCCAAATTTCAAAGCTCAGAGATGCTTACGAAACAGCGTGGCAAAATCCATCTTTCTGACAGAATCATTTCCAAAGCCCAAACCTTCAACGGGGCTCCTGGATGCACTTCTGAGTGCTGCCCGCCTGGGAGTAAGCGTGTTAATGTGAGTGTGTGAAAGGTATCGAGAATAAGAGGATAAAGTGTGAGTCATTCAATACAAAATATAAAATGTGTGTGTCGGTTGTTTCTGCTTTCTTTCAGATATTCCATAGAACAAGAGTGTTACTAACTAATTTAGTCATGCACCCTTTACTGGTTTCACTACGCGTCTGTGTGCTGGCTTGTAAGAGTTTGTGCTAGCGTTTTGGTGTGTGTTAAGGAGAAGGTTACTGGTGTGGACCCCTCAAAGGGTTGTTCTCATCTCTCAACAAATATGTCTGAGGCACCAATTCAAACAAGTCGCCTCTCAGCACTGTGTGTGTGTGTGTGTGTCGTCTCCTAAAAAAACAGGCTGCGTGGTACAAGTTTGAATCCAAGGATTATACCCTGAGGCAAATTGACTGAATGAACTCGACCTTATGGTAACAATCCTGTGAGGTGGAACTGAGTGCAGGGAGGACACTCCAGATCTAACAAACGTACACTTGCTCTCTCATACTCACAAATCCCATCCCCATGAGGTTTCTCTATTGTTCATTCATTCCGTTATTCAGCACAAGCCTTGTCACTTATTCTGATCTTGCATATAAACTCTACTGATGGACCCACAGGGGCATCACACAAGACTTTTATGACCAACGTTAAAAGTTATGTTACATTTTTCAGTGAAGTCAGCCATATTGTTGGCACTTGTAGCCAGCCTTCAGTTAATAGTTGTTGAACAGGTTCACAAAGAACAACATTTTCCATATTGGGTTGATACTTTTTTTCAAGTAAACATCCATTTGGATAAAGATAATACAAGAGATGTTCTGATATTTCAAATAATAATTGAGGAAGGTTTAAAAAAAAAAAAAAAAACAAGTTGACAAAACTTGGTTGTAACCAGTTAGCAACCAAGCTACCATTGCTAGTTTGTCATCCAGCCACATAAATAGAGAACTGATGGAGATCTCAAGAAACTTTGTACAAAGATATCTACATTCCTCACTAGGCTTATAAGATATTCTTAAGAAACAGGTACCTAAATGAGTGAGCCAGAACTATTGAGAAGACCATGGACTTTCTACTGCCAAATGACGGCTGGGTAATGAAGCGACCACCAAGCCAACCATGCAAATGGAGGAAGGGTGGGGTTACAGAGCTTTGAAACTATTCGGAGCCATTGAGGTGCTTCAGCATGAAACCTTTCTTGCAGTTGTAAAATGTTGATGAATTAAAACACACATCTTGACACGTTCAAGAGAAGTTGAGGATAGGATCAACTTGTATGGGGTTTTTGATTGTTCAACTAATGAACAGTGGAGATGATAATGAAGTATGAAAACATAACATTTTGTGTCACTATTGGAAAGGTAACAATAGCACTTTTACATGTAAGGAGATGTATCATCATAATTGGTTTGCTCATTTATTACATGCATTATTAATATGCAGAAAATCCTTCATTGAAGTTTCTGCTAAATAGATTATTCTCAAAGTGCCATATTAAAAATAAATTAACTGTTCGGCAGAGTCATAGACTCCATCTCTGACTCCAAATGTCTGTAATGAATGTCTCTGATATGTTTATGCAGCATTTTCTTTATAACATCTTCTTGCTGTCCTGTCCTTGAGTCAGTCAAATGTTTCATTAACAAACTACAATTTCATTATTTCTCCAAAATGTCAACGCTTGCACTGACAGGGACAAAGGATTCTTATCTTCTGAGACACAACACTAAATTTAGTCAAGTTTGGATTAAAACGTGTTTGGAAAGAAGCCCAATGAGCCATGAGGACCAAAGTTCATAAAATAAAAAAATAAAAAATAGTATTTCTTTATGGGGAAGAAATATGACATTTTATATTTAAAATAAACCTTGTGGTCTGCTTACCTGTAAATGGGATCCTGCATCACCATCATCTTGCTCTCATCCCACGTCCACTCCTTCCTCTGTGGAAACAGAAACAAAACAGTAAGTTCAAACCAAATTTAAGATTTTAAATAAGACTGAAGTAAGGGAACTTAATCTGTTAGATGAACATTAAACCAAAAACTGTAAATTATTTACGCCCATTGTCTTAAAATCCCAAGTGAACTGTATACAATAATATCTATGTGTGTAGAATGTAGATAACATAACATTCATTTTTAGTTCTACTTTGATCCGGCCATCGGTTTCAATTTACCTTCCGGTTTAATGCCATGATCAAAATGTCAACACATTATTATTACACAATTATTCATATTGATTTCTATCTCCACAGTGCTTTGTTGACTCAATCAGTCAATCACTCCTATCTCTGGTCTTTCTTCGCCTCCGAGGCTCTCAGAGATGTAAATAGATTGCTGATCATCACTCTTGACATTTCCGCTTTCGGGCCAGCAAGACAAATGGGACGAGAAAACGGTCGAAGGCAAAACATCCTTCTATCGAGCGGCCTTTCATTCAAGACCGCCGCTTAATTTGACACTGAACCTTCGATGATGGCTTTAATATGTACCTCATCAGCCAATACAAGACAGAAGGGACATTTGTATAAACACTTCCTTCCCATTATCTCTCTCTTGAGAAATTCCCATTTCAATCTTTACTTTAATTATATCATCAATGTTTTTCAACAAAACTCCCTAAACATTTGGTATTTCACCAGGTTGGCATGGTTTTGCAGGACATAGCCTATTTGACTGTCAGTTTGTGCTCTGAGTACAGATGAATGACCAGTGGCGAACCGTGTCTATCACAACTGGACCTTCTGTAGACACCGACGTTGGGAGTAACGCGTTACAAAGTAACACGTTACTGTAACGCCGGTATTTTGGGTAGTAACTAGTACTCTAACGCATTAGTTTTTAAATGCAGTAACTCAGTTACCGTTACTACATGGTGCGTTACTCCGTTAGTTTTTTATATATAGTTAACAGCCAGGTGAACAGAGATGAGAACTGTACTTAAGTACAGTACTTGAGTAAATGTACTTAGATACTTCCTGTGTCACATGCGGAGACGCGCTGTGGGCGTGTTTATGTTGTTTACTAACAAGACTATCATGGCGGCGGCGGAGCTCAAGTCTAGTTTCTCCACCTAGAGATATTCTCACTATTTCACTTTTGTCGAGCACAAAGAAAATAACGTTTTAGTTACATGTAAGTTGTGTCCTGGCGGGTCAAAGATCCTATCTACTGCCCAAACCAGTAATTCAAATATCTTAAAACATCTGCAAAAACAACATGCTGGGACGAAGCTAGTAGCTAAGACCACAGAGACTCAGCCGACGCCATTCCACCTCCACCTAAGCAACAGCGGCTGGATTTTAACCAAGGGACTGCTAGCCAGGGAAAAGTCGATAAAGCCATTGCACGGTATGTTGTAGAACACATGCAGGCTATTGCTACAGTGGACTCACCCGCTTTCAGGGAGCTAGTTAGCATGATAGCATGTCCGGGCGGCATACGGCATATGGGACGGAAAACTTTTTCCAACTACCTGGAGAAAGAATATACAAAAATGGAAAGCCAGCTAATATCGATGCAATCCAGATTGCATATAATGCATGTCAAGTTGATCAACAGATTGTATTATTCTCCAATGCAATAACAGTACTGAAATGAAGGCTATAAGGGCATTAATGGGAGCCCTTTTTTTAAGTAACTAAAACGTTACTTTTCACAGAAACGCATTACTTTTGGGTGTAAGTAACTAGTAATGGTAACTAGTTTTCAGTAACTAGCACAACACTGGTAGACACACACACCCCCCGCCACCTTGGTTGAAGGATATTCTACCCAGAGACCCAGAACAAGATCTGATTGGTGGCTTTCTTTTCTAACACAAAACCACTGAAATGCGTAGTCAAAGTGCATGGTCCGAGAAGGACAAACAAATCAACGTGACACTGTAATATTACAGATCAACGACACGATTCTCATTTATTCATTTTATATACATTTTATTTATATAATTTAATCGATTTTTTGTTTGTTTTATCTGAGTGTTCCAGGGCATTCTCTGAATACCTTGAAGGCCCTGACGGTTCGCCACTGTGAATGACACATGTATGCATAGCCTAAATATGAGATCCCTTTATCCTATTCATGTCAAGTATGCAGGCAAACAGAAAATACTATGTATGTCTTCCTATCATTTGTTTATTTGGTCTCACGTCTATGTTACATGTTAGATCAGGGGTGTCAAACTCAATTTAATCGCGGGCCACATCAGCATTATGGCTGCACTCAAAGGGCCGGTTGTAACTTTAAGACCATATAAAAATACATATATAAATATATATATAGAATAATGTATTATATTACATTATTGCCTCTGCATTGGATTATTATCAGATAGGGCTACCTATTACCGGTTAGGGTTATCGAAGTGGTTACCTGTTATAAATACCTAGGTATCTGGCTTGATGATTGTCTTACTTTTAAACTTCAGGTCATTAATCTGCTTAAAAAGCTGAGGGTTAGACTAGGTTTCTTTTTCAGAAACAAGTCCTGTTTCTCGCTTGAAGCCAGGAAAAGGCTAGTCACTGTGACCTTTTTACCTGTGCTGGACTATGGTGATTTGTTGTATATGAATGCACCTGCCTATCGCCTGAACAAGTTAGATGCTGCCTATCACAGCACACTGAGATTTGTCACAAATTGTAAAGCACTTACTCATCACTGTACCCTGTATGCCGAGGCAGGTTTGCCATCACTTACTGTAAAGAGGCTCAGTCATTGGTACATGTTTATTTATAAAGCTTTGTTGGGTAAACTCCCGTATTATATCTGCTCTCTGATAACACAGAGAGTTGCAAGCAGGTATTGTCTGAGATCGCATGATGTAGTATTGTTAGATGTGCCAGCAAGGACTGTCTTAGGTAAGACAGCTTTTATGTGCGCAGCTCCATTTGCTTGGAACAATCTTCAGCTAGAATTTAAACTGAGCAATCTCATTCCTCTGCATGTTTCTAAAGCTAGGCTAAATGAAATGCTCGTTGATACTATGGGCACTTGTAAATGTCTATAACTATGTAAATGTATCCTGTAAATATAATGTATGAATTATACATTGTACTTTATTGGGTCAATAATGTGGCCTTTTTGGCAGATTAACTAAAGGTGTGCGGCTGCTGCTGTGAGGAAAGATGAGCCTGAATGTACAATGGGCTTTAATTGAGACATGTTGAAAGTTGTTGTCACTTCATGCCCTCAAGAGGCATTTTGTTTAATTGTATTTTATTTTTCAAGCTACGAGATGTTTTCCTACGTTTCTCATGAAAAATTCTCAGGAATGTAGGGTTTGGGAATTATGGCAGGATTAAAAAATATATATGAAGGCGAATTTCAATCTGTCCTCCACTCTAGCTGTGACATCACGCACTCTAAATCTGAAGAAGGCCTCTTTACCAAGGTCTAAACAATGTTTAATATCTCTAAAAGTATGAATCAGATTTAGAAGTTGTGTAACACGAATAATGTCAGAAAGATGTGTAACATTTTAAAGTTGGAAGGTTTGAGGTTGAGGTTTCTAAGTGAAAGTATGAAGGAGCAGTTAGCAGTTGAAGTTGCATGAAGATTATTCAAGTCTGAAGAGTTTCTCCATTGACTTCCATGTTAAAAATGTGATGAATTATGGGATATTTCTGGAATTATTAAAGTTATGAATGAGAAAAGTAATATCAATCGATTCCCGACCGAGCTGAACGTTTTGATGTTTGAACGGAGTTTCTGCGATGTGGAATGTGGGAGCAGAAGACGGACAAAATAACCCGGTGGAATAAAAATAATAAAGAATTTGTGCGTAGAAGAACAAGTACTTAACTACTTCTGAAAGCAGAAGACTGGGGCAAATAAATGCAAGTCTCTTCAGTGAGAATGTCACAAAATGATTTTAAAAGAAAAGCCCAATTATGGAAAAAAAGTCAAAATCCTAAAAAAAGAAATTACATTTAAAAAACAAAAAGTGACATTTAAAAAAAAGAAGTGACATTTAAAAAAAAGAGTTAAATTCTGAGAAAAGGGCACATTCTAAGAAAAAAGTAATATTTAGAAGAAAAAAAGTCTAATTCTGAGAATAAAGGTATATTTACAAGAAATAAAGTCAAATTCTGAGAAAAAAAGTCTAATTTGAGATGCATTGTGGGACATGTAGTTTATGGGCAACGTGCTTCTGTAAATCATCATGTAACCGTATAATAAACATACAATATTCTTTGCAAGCTCTTGTGGGGCCACAGAAAATGAAGTCACGGGCCGGATATGGCCCCGGGCCTTGAGTTTGACACCCCTGTGTTAGATGATATTCTGCCTTGTAAGGCAGTTTGGGCTTTGAATCTAATGAAGCAAGATACCACATATCAGAATACACTACAATCCCTTATCTAATAATGAAGGGTTCATGAAAAGAGTTGGTGTCTTTTGTGCATGTACTGTAAATGGTCTGCAAAGGTTACAATCCCAAAGTGCCCTTCTCTCCCACACACTCCCTCCTGCTTGAAACTCCTCCATTGGAATCACTATGTTACACTTTCACTTCTATTGGCTAACACTCCAACACATTGTACTTGATAGGCTAAGAGGTGAGACATCTCTATGCTGTTGACCAATCACAGCAGAGCATTTAACCAGTCAATCAGCGAAGGCTGGGCTCTTGTTCCTGATAGAGGGTACAAAAAATATGGGAAAAGTAAAGCACTTTTTGAGAACAGCATTTACCACTTCACAGTAGAGGCAAAACATGTGAACCTGAAAATGAGTATACACGGGCCCCTTTAACACTGTAAGACAGGATGCAAGACATCGCCACAGTGAGAAATAAGTTTTGATGCAAGTCCTTTCTCGAAATACATGTAGAAGGTTATGCTAAATATGGCAGATGGCCAAAACTGCAAAACCCACGAGACTCAGCTGTCCGTAATGGTATGGGGTCGTAGCAATAATCCACATACTCTACATATCATGTACCATTCACGCACATTACTGTTCACACACAAAAGTTGGCGCACACACTTACATAACTGAGCATGTATAATGGTGTAATGAATAAGCTTCTCCTGAGAGGACCGTTCAGACAACTCAATTAAGACTCCTTTTAATGAGACCCTAATGTATGTCCGTGGTGTACATCTGCGTGCAATTACAAGTGGAGTTCAATACATAGCCCTTTGTAACATTCATTCAATAGAGAGGTCCTTGATGATCCAATTGTTTCGATTCTTTATGTTAATTGCCGGTTAGCCAATAGAGAGTAACTAAAGTCTTTTTATTACCTTTTCAACAGATGTCCTTCAAACTGCAGAACTAAAATGGAAATAAATTATTCTAATAGTCACTATAAAAATGTCTAGTTCCGTCAATGTTAATGTAATACTTTTATAATTTTAGGACGAAGCCAATGGAGCTAATGGAGCGAGTTTGTGCAGAATTTAGAGGCAATATTCTCTGCATCTGAACATGGCATTCAATGCAGAGAATATCAACACATCATCAGGAGTGTATGTTCTTTTCCACTAAGAAACCAATAAGATGTGACTTCCTAAAGGGTTAAAATAATCGGTTGATCTTTTTGCACCAACATGTCAACACCATAGGTCAACACCGAATCAGATCTTTGAGCTATTCCTACAAATATTCAATCTAGTAAAAACAACTCAATAAGAGTCCCTGTCCCGGCAGACTGTTATCCTTCTGAACAGTTCTCACACAAGATGATGCTTGACAGTCACTGCTTGTTGTATTAATATTAAACACATTTTAAAAAGACTCCAGCTGAGTCCAGCAGAGCAGCCTGGAACCTTGAACGACAGTGAATGAAAAACTAAACGCTTGCTGAGGAGAATGGACAGAAATACTAAGTGGCTTCTGTTTGTTTCCATCCACCTGTCAGAGTCTCTGTGATTCTCAACGCCGGATTGTCTCTGAGCATTACAGCTGTCACCACCAGGAACCACAGATCCACTTGTCTCAGCACTCCTCTACTTCAGCTTCTTCAGGTTAATCTTTGCTCTTTCTTCTCATCTTTAAACTCTTTCCTCTCTTTCATCCTGTCTCTTTGCTTTTCAGCAACTCTCTGTTTTTTGATCTTCCCCAATACTTTCAATTCCTCTCAGGACCTTTGTCCTACCTTTCAAAGTCTCCATTCTCTGCTCTGTCTGCCAAGTAATCAAGAGGAGGATCAATCACCACCTCCTGTCATTGAAAGGATGCAGGCAATTCATTTGGATTGGCACTTTAGCACAAAAAACCCTATGGCATCATTGAAACCATATTCTCGTCAAGCTCTACCATCTTCATGTCTTTATTGAACTGTCACAGTCTTGTCTATGCGCCTGACCCTCTATTGTACCTGTACCTGTTTTAATGTTGTTCAATTCACTGCAAGTGCCCATGGTTTTGGTAGAAGATGCACTGAACTTGTCTCTTATCCACATGCAGAGAAAATAGGTCCCTTGCGAGGATGCTTTTCCACTTGTTGATCCTGTTTTGCGTGCTTGTGTCACCAAGCATTTTGAGGCTCAACATAATCCAACCAGTTAAAGGAGGAAAGCGAAGGGACAACATGTGGCAAAGGGTCAAGGGTGTGAATCTAACCCGGTTGCAGTTACAGTTAGGACTTGTAAGATTAAAGATATTCTTATAATCATGACCTATGAAAGCAAGAAATGATTATCATTATGACAAAGTGTATGAGCTTAATGGATTAAAAAAGCTTTATTTCATTAAACAAACTTCATATAAACTTATGAGAAACTAAAAAAAGAGGCTGTAGCCTATATGACTACTGAACATTAGTACAATCATATTCAGATTTGTCTTCATCTTGAAAGAATACCATTTTATAGGACTTGAGGATCAAAACCTCCTGCTTTCAAATCTGAAATAACTCTACCAAAACATATCAAATTCACCAAATAAGAAGATGAGAGAGAATATAGAGTTCAAACTAAAGAAAAGGTCACTCACTTTTTTCTTTTTCCTCAAGCCCACTCTCACACCGTCTACAGACACCACGATGTTGACTTTTTTCTTCTTGATGTTTTTCACCTTGAACTCATACTGTGGAAACAAGACACAGACAGCAATACATTACTATTTGTTGGGGGTTAAAATGTAGACAGTGACGTTGCTAAAGACTCAGATATTTAAAACATTGGTTAAACCTTTTGGTGAGTACTTGTGGGTGTAGAAAAAAAAACATTAAATAACTTAATAATAGTATCAGAATAAATGTTGAAGCGCAGTTTTTTGTCTTTTTTTTTGCGCCATCCATCTTTACATGTAGTTAAGGCCATGACAGCCTGTGTTACAGGGGACTTTTACAGCAACAGATGATGATGTTAACATTGGAAAAGTTGTTACATATTGATAACTAAGTTTGCTAACTTTCTCTTAAAAGCCTGAAAAAAGAGAAAATAAATATGTTATAGTTATTATTATTTAAAATTGCCTTATATTTTGAATACGTTGTATAATAGAGAATTATTAGACGACGTATAGATTGGTCAATTAACAGAAAGTAATTGAGAATTTTTTAGATGATCATTTTAATCACTTTTAATTCATGCTAATATGGCAATGGCTGTTTTCAGCAAAACAAATATGTATTTTTCCGTTTTATATCACATTACTACGGAGCCCTGGAGGGTTCATTGAGAGAAAAATAAATAAAACGTGGCCACGTTTTACTTTCTCGTTCGCACGAGTTAATAAAGCGTGCGCACGAGTTAATAAAGCGTGGCCTCCTTTTATTTAAATTGAGGGATTCCTGTCCGTGACTCACAGTATCTGCTGCCCACAGCTGTTTTATAGAAGGAAAACCTCCTTCACTTTATGAAATCTCTGCGGCACCAGTGGCCTGTACTACGAAGCAGAATTAGCTATTTACACTATTCATTCATGAAGTATGACGCTGCGCTGTCAGCACGCGTCTCCATGTTTGTGATTGGTCAAATGTTGCTAACCCCGTCCCTTTCACGTGAACGCGCTCTCAGCCGGACAGAGAAACCCTGCTTGATTTACTGAGTTGATAACCAGCTTCGTAGGACCGCTTATCGACATCGCGTTTGTTAGGGTTAGTTAAGCCGGGTAAATGGAACATATCCAGGTCCAGGGTCTGTTGAACTGGCTTCGTCGTACAGGGCACTGGAGGCAGTAACGTGTAACCCAGCAGAATCTGAGAAGAGCAGCACCAGCTGCAAAGAGCTGTGCCTTTTACTGTTTACTTCACTGCGTTTCCCTTCATTAGAACCGCTGAATAGAGATCGAGGCTGCTGCGTTTAACCACACACACCTATACACACATCGAACTACCAGAGTATTCCCCCTCGTTTTATGAAGGAGATGTCCTGTCACCGGGGCGCATGATGTGTGTGTGTGTGTGCTCAGCTCCGCTCTGTGTGCGTGTTCGTATGTGTCCGACACCACCGGCATTTGTTTTCAAATGACCACGAACAGTACTTTACACAAATCTGGTTCTCCATAGTTAAGTGTATTCCCAAGTGAAAGAAATTTGTTTAATCTTAATCTCGATGTGCTATAGTCCTGCCGGAGTGCACCGGAACGAACGATACTATCATAAACAAATGCCCCGCCCCGCCCCGCACGCACGTTTTATTTATTTTTCTCTCTATGAACCCTCCAGGGCTCCGTACATTACAGATAATACCTTTGGGTTTTTAACTGAAAAAAAAAAAAAAAAACGTTTAGGAACTGAATTTTTCTAGACCAATAATCTAGAAATTAATATACCAAAAATAATCAATAGGTGCAGCCAAGTAGCACAGGTTTTGTTGATATCTATACGTTTTATTGGAGATCTTGGAATATGTTTGTATGATGGCAACCTACTGTAGACAAAATTGCACGGCATGACCGTCAAACTATACAATAAGACTATTATATGCCAAGCATTTATATGGCACCTTTCTGTAGTTAAAGATTTCTCGAATCCTTGCTACAGTATTTAAAACGTACTGAGGTTCAAAACCCTGCTGTTTAAGTGCCGAGGAGGGATCATTTCAAGTTGGCAGGAAAAACTCAATGAGCATAAGACTCCTTTGAGAAAGGCACTTGACCCAGACAAAGGGCTTGAGTTAAGCTGCTAGGAGGCTAATAGCAGACAAAAAGTCCACCATTACAATTGTGTAAAGTAACATTTAAACAGTCACTTATTGAGTTGAACTTCTTTTACACGTTGCCATTGAAAAAATAAATAAAGCAGTCATTCCCCTCCACTTGAATTCAACTTTTGACGTATATGTTGAATCGATTTGTCACAGCAAATGACAAAGAGCCCTGCCGAATGAACACAGTATGGCATGCAGACCTCTGTCAAAGTCAATTTACACACCAAAGATCAGACTGAGACAACATTCATCGTCTCCACTGCCTCTAATAGAGCTGTGAGCAAGGTCAGCGTTTGAATATCAATACAACGCATGTGTGAAGAGTGGCTTTAATGTTTTAGAAGAATAATATGCTAGTGCAAGGGCATATGCAAACCCTACCTCCCTCTGCCGCAATTCTGTGCATGCTGGTGTTGTTCTGAATGAGTAGGATGTAATTGAGTTGTATAGAAGCACCTGTCACAGAAGCCAGGAGAGACATTAGCTCCAAGTACCGTCTGAAGTATCTATTTCTGTCGTTCAGCACTCTCACAGCGTTGGCTAGTTGGCGTGTCCTGCTGGGTGAAATATTACGATGCTTCTGAAAGTGGAGTGGACGCTCATTAAAACTTCACTTGACTGCAATTTGTATGTAAAAAAAAAAGTCTTGGTCATAAAAGTCTTCCATCCCTGAGATGATGCAAGATTCACCTAATTTGCTCAAATTCAATTATGTTCCCAGGTATCGATGCTTGTGGGAAATCTACTCGGTGCAAGGAAGTGAGAAAATTGAAACTTACGGCGGCAAGGATATGGCAACAGCATTGAGACAGTACTTTGTTCAGACAAGCTGACGAACGTCAATATCTCTAGCCATCATTTGAGTGAGGCCACCACAGGTTTTTTAAAGCTGATGGCAGCTTCAAGTGATTGTTCAAGGTCGCTTTTGAAAGTTTCTGGCAGCACTGGTTGAACAAAATCTGCAGGGTCACACTGCTGCTGAAGATAAACTTCTGATGGTGTTTATCCTTTTCACTGAATCAGCTATCAACACATGAATCTGTCAGTCAGTCGCACTCTCTGTCCTTTGCTGTGTTTTGTTGGTCTTTGTAAGGTCTTGATCGTATCTAATGTGGTTGCATTTGGGTCCACATGAGAGCAGTGAAGTAGGTTTATATCAGCATTAACACATTTTCAAGTGTTCTTCAGTTGTGGAGACTGGGAGCAAGTACCAATTAGATGAAGAGAAAAACTGGTTTCTTAAGTATCTCTTTATCTGTAGAGCAAACTCTAAGATGTTAACTTTGAATATTTCTGCTTACCACTGCTGGGATCATAAGCGCAAACCAATAAATCAGACTGTTCGTAAAGTTAAAACAACGCCAAGCCAGTTTTCAGCCAGGAAAAAGATCTGCAGACCTGGCTGTGTGTGTTTTTGGGGTTTTCTGGTGGACCAAAAATAATGCAAGGTTTGACAAGGGTCCTTTGAGGGACCCATCTATTTGAACGTTCCAGCAGCTCCTGACCTGCTTTGGAAAGTTGTGTGCAGTCAGGTGCTCAAAGTAAAGCAATAGATTGTTTAGAAGAAAGAAATGTGGATCTTGTGGATTTTAGAGTTTGCAACTTCAGTCATTTTATAGATAAATAATAAATGATTCAAATGCTCGAATGTTATTGTGCTCATTTTCTGCTTCATATTAGTATTTTGAGAAACGCCCTCTGAAAGGAACTTTGGGATTTAAGATTCTGAAGACCATTTACGTGCAAAAAAACATATATAACACACAGGAAAGGGAAAAACCCAAAAAGCATAATAACTAAAGTCCTTTAACTTAAAAGGAAAACATGTAAGATAAGCTGGTTTTCCATCACAACATTAGCTGTAATGGTGATATTGGATTGTTTTATGTAGAAACTTGGTGGCTGAAGTTCATAGATATTTTACCTAAGTAATAGTAGTAATACCACAGAGCAGAATTGGTCTGTTGAAGGTAGAAAACGTAAGTAGAAGTACAACAATATTGGCATCAAAATCAATCAAAAACAAACAGTAGCCCACAATAAGTAAAAGTAGCACATCACAACATCATATATTCACCTACATATGCACACACAACACAAATTACTATTATGATGCTTAATAATCATTTGAATTCCGTGGGGCAATTTTACACAATCAAGCGTGAAGGTCTAGAAAATGAGGTCATGTAACAAACAGCAAAAAAGCACAGCTGGCATAAAGAAAGTCAGCAGGGCAGTTGACCTTTATTTGCATCCAATTACTGTTTGGAGGAATGGACTGAAATAATGACGATTTATTTTACACAGCCTTATTAGCATTTATTTGTACCACTATACTCATTCAACACCTGTTGATACCTTCATTAAAGGACAGGAGATGCACACGCATATACAGTACACTCCGCAGAGTATATTAGAGAGTAATATAGAGAGTTGGAGCACCATTTTGTTCTTGTCTCAAAGTGTGTAAGTGTTTATGTGTCTTGACATTTATGAGCGTCTTTATGGGACTGTTTTAATCAGACTGTGCTGCTTGTGCAAGATGTAAACGTTGGTATGCTGGATGGATGGCCTGATTGACCTCCATAGAGATGATTACAGCTGCAATCAAACACACATTATGCAGGCTATGACTGTATGCAGCACAATACGAGAAAAAGCACCTCACTATAATACGTTTGTCTATTTCTGTCTGATAGGGCCCGTCATTAAATCCACAGCTACAGATACAGCAGCGATATGATTTAAATGTAAGTGCTGCACTTCTGGAAAGTACTTTGATACTCCACCAGAAGCTCACATACAGTAACAGCTCACAACACAGTTAGGATTTATTTAGGATAGTCCCTAATGTCGCTGATGGATGACACTCCTGAATTTGCAACTACAATGCTATTACATTTGACAGATGTTCAAAACATTTTAACTGCA